CCTGGAGATATGCTTTTTATGCCACCGATCCACCCTTAACTACACTAATTTGCAAATGGCCTTTAACGAGGAATGGAATAGAAAACGCTCATCATTTTGTACGGGGATACTTGCTGTAATTCCCGATCCCATCCACACAAGAATCAGTACAACTATACTATCGACATTCTGCATTTTTATTTTTGGCAAAATGGAACTGGAAGCTCCCTATTTCTGAAGCCCACCACAGACGCCGAAAGCTGTGCATAATTTTCCTTTCTTGACCCTTTTAAAAACAACAGTAACAAAAACAGTAACAGCAAGTTTTCGAGTTTTGGGTGCTTCGTTTTCGACCTTGGGTGCTTCGTTTTCGAGATTTGGGTGCTTCGTTTTCGAGTTTTGGGTGCTTGAGTAGATTTGAACTGCATTCGATTCGTTATCGAATACTCGTTATCGCGCTTGATTTCTGCTGTATTTACATTGGTCTCGTGTTTATAAAGGACAGACCGGTGTCGAGTTTTTTGGGTGCTTCGTTTTCGAGATAGGGTGCTTCGTTTTCGAGATTTGGGTGCTTCGTTTTCGAGTTTTAGGTGCTTCGTTTTCGAGTTTTGGGTGCTTCGTTTTCGAGTTTTGGGTGCTTCGTTTTCTAGTTTTGGGTGCTTCGTTTTCGATCTTGAGTGCTTCGTTTTCGAGATTTGGGTGCTTCGTGCTTCGGTCTTCGCTTTCGAGTGCTTCGTTTTCGAGACTACCCGTTGTTGAGAGGAGAAAACGACTCGAAGCAATCGGATGAACTTCAGGCTAGGCTTTTGCAGGCACCTTATTTATAAACCGCCATTTTGATTTCTCCGTTCGAAATGGCTAGAAATTTAAGAGATTCACAATCACGTTTACCGCAGATGACGACGTCAGAGTCAGGTTGTGAGTTTTTCATAATAGGGAATGAGCAGATAAAAACTTTGCAAAATAATTGTTTAGGATTACAGTCAATTCTCTTGTAACTTCCACATCACCATAACGGACACCTAGAGTTGGTCTCTGCCTTTCTTTAGCGGTCAGTGTAAAACACAGACTGTGGACTATCAATTTCACCATGCAATTGAAAACATGACAACAATAATCGACATAATCCCATTTTCTAACCTTAAAAACAATGTGAGTGAGTGAGTGAGTAACTTTATTAAATCAGGGTAGCCCGTTCAGCAACGAGGCTGGTATCCATAGGGGCTCAGAGAAATAAAAAAGTATACTATTGAAAAATTCCTAAGGTATATACAGTGTACATGATTAAAATAAACTATAATACTGTAAAAAATCTAGCTAGGTCAATGTAAAAAGTGTGTGCTAAGAGATGAGAAATGAAAATTTTAAGGCAAAATACTCGGTCAGCATCTTTTAAAAACTATTTACAGACCTGGCACTTTAACATAATTGGGTAAAGAATTGAAATAAATAGCCCCTACATACTTAAAAGTTCTTTTGCCCATGTTATGCTTAGGCTTTGGTGGGTGCAGGTCATTGCTTCTCCTAGTTGCATGATCGTGCAAATCTGCATTCCTTGTAAACATTGCGTAATATACTTAGGTACTAGATTATTTAAACACTTAAAAACTAGAATGCATTTATGCATTTCTCTTCTGGAAGCTAGATTTAACCAGTTTAGCACACAGAAAGTGTCATTTGAGGTGTTCTTTTGTAATATAATTTGAGCTGCACGGTTTTGTAGGCGGTGTAACTCTTTGCAACACCCCTCTGAGATTTCCCCCACGCAACATCAGCATAGTCAAATGATGGCTGTAAGAGTGAAGTGTATACCTGTTTAGAGGCTTCCAGTGACTATGGCCAATGTGCGAGCCAGCGAGCCAGCGAGCCAAACGTGCGAGCCTTGCGAGCCACTGAAAAACACCGACACGATCGCCTTTGCAGTCTTTCTTTTCGCAGTCTTTCCTCTCCCCTCTCCCGTAGCGGAAAGTACGAGATACAAACAATGGGAGTAATGAGGTAACATAATACATCGCACGTGTATCGACAGATGCGTGCAGTACAGCCCAGTGGTACGACGCTATTACTGCATCCTTACTTTTGCACATGATTAGCGCGCGCACATAAACAAAATGGCGACTTTTTCCATAAATCGTCATTTTGGCAGAAGCTAGTGATTGGTCATAACACAATAAACATTCCTGAGATATTTCAAGTGTTTATGGTTTTCCTGGTCACACTGTAAAGTTCTCAAATAAAAAATAAGCAGTTTTACAGTCAGTTGGAGAAAAACCAGTCCGGACCAATCCTAAAAGCTTGTTCTTGCAGAATAATATTACAAAATGATCGCTGTTCACAAAATTAAACTCCCACAAAAATAACATGTCAAATGGTTGTTGACAATATTTCACCATTTCTTTTTTTTTGTTTGTATTGTAGAGTTGATGTCTGCAGTGTTAAAGGATTTTTAGGATTCCTGTGATGTCCAGGCTGATGGAGGTAAGTCAGAAAATTGATTGTCTGTTAGTTATAGTATTAGTTTAGTGAAGGTTGCTTGTTCTTGATGTACAATTGAAGGGTTTCCTGAAAAAAGGTATAATTTGCTTATCAATAAAAAGCAAATTACACCCATTTTTAGGGAAACCTTCCAATTGTATCTTCACTCTTAGAGCTACCTGAAAGGTTTGAGGTTAATGAGAAAAACATTTGAGTTGTGGTTCTGAATTTGCTGGCGAAGAGGTAATGATCATATTGTGTCAGAGTCTCTGGACCAGTGAAGTTCTAATTTTAGCCCAGGATACAATGTATCTGTTCCACCACTTGATTTTCTTAGACAAGAAATCATTTCTTACATTATGTACCTAATTCACCCAGATCATTTATTTTGTGTTTAATGGCAACATTAACAGCTGTACTGCTGGAGGTAATGCTGTGATAGATAGGGTTAGATACATTATGCTTGAAAATTTGAGCATTACCCTCAAAACAACATCAGTATGCCTAAAATAAATTATGCTCGAAAAGTAGCATTTAATGCTTGAATGATCTTGGCTGTATTTAGAGCCCTTTTCCATCCCCGCAGATATGAATACAACATTTTATTGCATCAAATACAAATTTCAAATTGATGAATAGACAATTAGCCAGTCTTAGCAGCCTAACAAAGTGATGCAACGGTGCAACAACACATTGAAAGTAGCAATCAAGCCTTTGAATATGTTAATTCTCACTAAAAGCACTTGGAAGTAAAGTTGTGGTAATATTATTATTATTATTATTATTATTATTATTATTATTTTATTATCATTCTCTTTATGCTGAAAAGTGGCCATTATTCTGGTATTACTTGATGCACCAACTATAACATTATGACCAAAATTATGCTGGCACATTGTACCTAACCAGGCTTAGTGGTGGACTTAAGCATCCCATTTCATGGGGCTTGGGGGGGGGGGGGGGGGGGGGGGGGGGTTTGAAGTGTTGTTACCCCCCTGGGGGCTTTATTTTTCCTCAACAAAGTATTCCCCCAACCGTGCCGGCCCCTTTGGTTTTTTTATATTCCCCCTTTCCCCCCCCAGGGGCGGGGCCCCCCTTTTACCAAAAGGGGGGGGGGGGGGGGG